ATTCCCAAACACCTCATAAAATCCTTCCTGACCTTCATCTCCTCCAACCACCGCCTCTGCAGCTCCCCTCGCGCTTTCACGACCTTCAACAAATCCAGCGGGTCCAACTTGGCCTTCGGCCTCCCCGTCTTCTTCTTCACCACAACCACCACGTCATCATCCTCCTCGTCCTCGTCCCCATCCTTCTTAACCCCGTCCTCAATCTTCTCAACCCACCGCTCCTCCTCCACTTCCATCTCCTCTTCCTCGCTCATCCCGTCCCCATCCCCAACCTGTCGATCCAAATCGTAGTTATCCCGTCGCACGATCTCGTACAATGCGCGTTTGAGAACAGAGGATGGGAGGTTACATTGGCGGGCGAGAGCAACGGTCTCCACCGCGTACGGTATCGGTTCTGGGGTAAGATCGTCGAGGTTGGCGGACCAAGTCTTGGTTATCACATCTCGTGCCCAGGACTCGAACATCGGAATATCGAGTTTGTGTGCGACGCGGAGGATGGAGGCCGTTCGGAGGAACGAAGGTGGTTTCGCAACGAAGGTTCTAAGTAATCGAGGAATCAATCCCGTCGCATCAGCACGATCAGAGAGAGGAGAGAAGAGAGAACCACGCACATAGCCTCATCCAACGCATCCAACATCTCCCCAAACTCACCCACCGAGAACCCCAGCCCATCCATCTTAACCACCACCTCCTCCCCATCAACACCCAAATGCCTCTCCTTCATCTCCCTCTTCACGAACAGCCTCTCATCTACATCACCCAACAAATACCTCACCCACCCACTAACCTTCACCATCCGACTGCGATGCAACTTGAACCTCGTCTTTTCGAGCTGAACGAGCAAACTGCCGTCGAGGTACCAGTGCGTTTCGCTGCGGGTGTACCGACCGATGGCGGCGGGGACGTAGGTGACGGATGGGCGTGGGCGTTTGGGAGCTGGACCTGGAGGAGCGGTGGCGGAGGGTTCAAGGAGCGTGACGCTGTTTGAGCGTTGGCGTTTTCGAGGACGAGGAACGGAGGACGGAGGTGGTGGAGGCTGCGGAGCGACATCGAGCTTCGTCGAGCTCGAGCTCCCTACCGCGTTCGTTGTTTGTGGTGTTGCTCGGACCCCATCAGAAGCGGCGACGCTCTTTCGTGTATCTTCGGATTTCGCGGATGGTTCCTTATTTTTACCCTTGTCGATGGGCGTCGAGGCTACCTTGCTTTTATCCTTGTCGACGGATGTAGGGGCTTGAACCGAAGCTTTTTCATCGCGTTTCTTCATTCTAGAGAGGAGTGATGGCGGTTTGGATGACGATCCGGACTTCTCGCTGGTGCCGTTGGTCGAAGGAGGTTTGGACGTTGGCTTCGACGAACTCGACGAGGTGTCTTCTTGCCCGCGACTAGACGAAGACGATGATTTTTTAGCCTACAATAATCTACCATCAGCAACCACCATGAAAAGGACAATATCAAGTCATACCTTGTGACGGTCAGCACCAGGGTAAGGTTCAAGCGTTTCAAGGAGAGCCTGAATGTTGAACTCCCGTCTCGTTCCGCTGTTTTCGCGTCGAACAACCCCATACTCGTCAAACAGATTGTCGCTCTTCCTCTTCTTCGATTTCGATGAAGACGGAGCTTGGTCCGCACCGTTGGTCGTCGACGCTTTCGATGCTTGGCGGAGAGCAGACGCGGAGTTTACCACAGACTGGATTTGTTCAACATCAGAAAGAGGGGTGGGTGGTGGATTCACAATAGGCCTTACCTTCTGGGTGGGGCGTCCGAATGGAAGACGAGTGGGAGGTGTTGGAGGGGGCCTGAAAGGGTTAGAGGAATCATCTCCAGATTCCGAATCTTCTATGTGAGCACGACGCTTGAACTTTCTGGTTTCTGAGGCTGACCGAGCGAAACCGTTCATATCAGAAGGGGGCAAGCTTGGTGAGCCAGAGTCAGAACTATCGTTCGCCTTGAAGAAAAAAATCAGTATTTAACCAGAGAAGACCAAGTTATTAACGCACCTTTGAAACATCATTCTGTCGCGTTGAATGTCTGGTTTCTGAGTCTGACCGAGCAAGATCGTTGATATCGGAAGGTGGCAAGCTTGGTGAGCTTTCGGAACACCCGTCCGAGTCAGAACTATCGTTCGACTTGAAGGAAATCAGTATGTAGTCCCACAGTAACAAGCTAATGGCGCACCTTTGAATCGTCATTCGGTATTTCAACCTCGTCTTCCTCCTCCTTCACGTCCGTATCATCCAACTCATCCTCCTCTTCACTCGACTCGCTTTCGCTGTCTTCCTCGTGGTTCTTCGAAGGCGACCTATCCAGAATGGTCTTGAAAACCTGAGACAACTCGGGAAGTCCATCATTGTCGTCCAAGTCGCTGAACCCAGGTAATGAAGGGACGTCAGAGTCGTTGACCGGTGGGGAGAGCGGAGACAGCTCAGGAAACGGCTGGGTCGCTGATGGTTCTCTTATCGGTGCACTAGATGGGCCCTACAACGCAGATAAGTCGCTGTTAAGGCGATTTAAAGGCCTTATCGACGCTTCGAAACGGTCGACAATCGAGACATACAGGTGTAGCCGCTACCTCAGACATTTTAAGGAGTCGACGTGGCGAACACGGCTATCGCCTTTCAAAACCTAATTATTCTGTTTATTCAGTTCAATTAAAACGCTTTACAGAGTCAAAACTTACAACTTGAACGCGTCTCGAGCGCCAAAAAAAGAAAATGGCTCAAGGTCGCATAGGAACGAGGATAAAGCCCGAAAAAAGCGCCCGCGATCCCAAGTCCGGCAACCCACCCGGCACCGCGAGGGTCATGTGAGGCATTTTCGCACGACTCGCACAACAGCCTCCTCGCGATCGTCAAGTCGCCTCTCGTTCAAACTACTTCCTCCATTTCACCATAGATTTTCCGAACAAATGGTGTCTAAACCGCCCGCTTGGACGCGATACAAGCGGCTGCGATGGACGAGAAACTTGGCTTCCTTCATTCGACGTCACTCGTGCTCTGGGAAGCGCTCATCCTTATTCACTCGACCGCATTGTCAAGTCTGGCGCTTGCTTCTTCTATTTTCCCGAGTACCACCGATATTGCCAACGAGGTGAACAGCGATTTATGTATTCTGACGTCGACTTCTCGTGTAATGTCCCTGGGCTTTTCTGACGATTTCCATTCTTTCTCCATACTGCTCTCGAAGCGCTCGGTCGGTCGGATCTCTCACACCTCCACATGCATACGACGAAAACATATGCCTACCTTGTTCTCGTCGATTCTCGTGCTTTCCCATCGTCGTTCAAGGATTGACTGAGACCTATTGCACGCGCGACAAAGGACAAGAGAAACGGATGATACTCTGACAGACTACAGCCTAATGTTCGGACAAAACCAACGCACGGATCGACAGTCCAATTCAACGGCTTGGGTCTCTGACTGATACAGCCCCATCCCCGAGGTCTACCAAGGCGCTTCACAGCCCATTTCATTTCGAACGAACCCACATCCCTAAGCCGAGCCGCCGAACCAATCACATTCGTCCAAGCTCACCCGCGAACCATCCTTACATCCCTTCATCGACACCCAAGCCCTTCTTAAAACACCCTATTTCCTCCACACCCTCACCGCCACCTCGTTCTCAGCCCTTACTTTCCCCATCCTAAACGTGCGTTGCCACCAAACGCTCCCAAACGCCACGAGCGAACACTCGCGAACGTCTCAGCACGCGTTCAGACGAGCTTCTGAGCCACACCCCACACGCCCCCTTTCAATACACCCCGCACGCTTCGAAATTCTCCGTGAAGATAGCGCGGGGAACACATTACCCCATATGCCGATTCCGGTAATCCGAGATATGTCTCCGGGAGGGAGACCAAGAGATTCTAATTCACCAACGCTTTTCCGATGAATTTCGAGTATAAAAGGCGGTCGACGAAGACCTTTGGTGGTTCCTCATCGTCTCTACGACTCGTCGTTCCTCGTCACACCCTCCGTAAACCACCAACCTAGCATAATGAAGGTCTTCGCATACGTCGCCCTCCTCGCCGCCGCTGCCCAGTCGGCTTCTGCTCACTGTCCGTCCTTCCTTCCTACCCTTCTCTCCTTCCACATATCGAACTAACGCCCAATTCTAGACATCTGGACCACCCTCACCGCCGGCGGCCAGACCACCTCCGCCGTCATCCGCCAACCCCTCAACAACTCCCCCGTCGAGGACGTCTCCTCCCCCCACATGCGCTGCAACGTCAACCCCATGCCCGCCTCGCAGACCCTCAACGTCCAGGCCGGCTCCAGCGTCACCTTCCGCCTCGACAACACCCTCTACCACCCCGGCCCCGCCGCCATCTACCTCGGCCAAGTCCCCGCCGGCCAGACCGCCGCCTCTTGGGACGGAAGCGGTGCTAACTGGTTCAAGGTGCGTCTATCTCTCGTCCATTCTCTTCTTCTCTCGTTAACTCACCGTTCGTTCGTTTTTGTGTAGATCGACGAGTTCGGCGCCCAATTCAACCCCTTCCGCTTCATCCCCGACGGCCAGAGCCAGCTCTCCACCACCATCCCCTCCAACACCCCCAGCGGCGAGTACCTCCTCCGCATCGAGCACATCGGTCTCCACGTCGCCGGTGCTCCCCAATACTACATCTCCTGCGCCCAAATCCGCGTTAATGGCGGTGGAAGCGGCAACCCACCCAAGGTCTCCATCCCCGGATACGTCTCGAGGAACGGTGCGTTCGCGTTTGTTGTTATTAGATTGTGGTCGATTGGTTGTACTTATGGTGTTTCGTGCTCGCAGACCCCGGTCTCACCGTCAACATCCACTGGCCCATCCCCACTTCCTACACCGTCCCCGGACCCCGCCCCTGGAGGGGATAAACGCTCATCGCGTCGTTCCTTTCAATGGATCGTCGATGAGTCGCCTCGCCTTTCGTCGTTTGAAGAGTCGCCTCGCTTTTCGAGCGTCGAAGAGCTCAGTCGTAGAGAGTTTGGGTTCTTATTCGGTTTTATGTATTATCTACTTATATCATCGTCAATCGGTGTACACCGGACAAATTAAAAAGTGGTTTTCAAATCATTCATACCTTTCGTTTTCTGGCGTGAATCGTCGTCTTCCTACCTCGAGCTCTTGTCTTCGTTGACGCTTGATTCGTCTGGTATCCTCATTCCAGCTTAACCTCAAATCCTCGTTCCAGCCTGACCTCACATCCTCATTCCAGCTTGAATTCTCGTATCTTCGTTCGCTCTGGTGCTTTGGATTGCCGAGTGCAAGTATCCTCTTAGCGACGTCGTACGTTCCATATGTAGTTCAACGTACGGAGACTCGGGTGGGTAGGAACAGGGTAAAACGCCTGAATGTGAACGTCTAACGATGGTGGACTTGAGGTCACTCCACAGACTGCGATGACACCCTCGACTTTAAATTGGCTCGTGGGGTTTTGTGAAAGGAATGACTCTCGGTTGTATAGCAGCTCGTTCGTCAACCAGGCGTTCCCAGTTCTATCCCAGTCCATGATATTGCCGCAGGTTGTAGCACGAGCCTAGGCGTGTTCTGTGCTCTGGGCAATTGTCGGTGCCCTGGAAACCAGCGCCGCATTTTCGTGTCCTTGAGATGGAACTCTGTCTCCTCCCAAAACTGCGAGGTGGCTTTGGCCACTTTGCGCCATTGGCGACAGACGTCGGTCAAGAGAAGAGGGACCTCCGTGTTGGATATCGCGGGTTTTCCGCTTGTAGGAAGTGTGGCGAGAAATACAGATCCCAGAATTTCCGTGGACAGAGGTTAATGGGGGGAGTATGGACCTCGCTCTTAGGAGAGCGCTGAGGGACTCCTAAAATGTTTGGAGGAGAATATACTTGCTAAATGCTGTTAAGCGCTCAGCCGCGGCTCTATCCGTCCCTCGTGCCCATCTACTACCTATAGCCTCAAATGGGAGCGATTGTTTTTGTCGTTTTGGCGCCCAGACCTGCCCATCCAACCTAAATCGTAACCACTGCGTTCTCAAAGGGCAACTTCCAGTGCTTCTCCCGGCATAATGTCATTGAATTAACGCTTCATAACAGGAGCAACGTGTGGACGACATTTGGTGCCGCCCCTTCGCAGAACTGAGCACGGCGATCCAGCTTGCATGACTCAGATTGCTCGAGAGATCCATGGCCAGGTGAGGAAACCTGCACTTGAACTTGATTTGTGAGCTAACGGCAATCATCGACAGGCTGGGAGGCATGGAAAGGTCCTCAAACGCCTCCATCCCAACGATCCCTCTGTGATACATGTCCTGTGCGTCGCTCCTGGCCACATTGTTCCTCTCGCCTCAGGCGGGAGTGACTGCTTTGCGATTGGATCTGACCTAATGAATGTCTCTGGAAAGTGCGAGTACGATATCCCATTCTTCATCACGCTGACGATGGTATTAGTCCCCGATGTAGTGCGAGATGAGAAGAATTGGCTTGACCACATCGACAGGCTCAGCGCTCTCCTGCTAGCCATTATGTGCTGTTATGATAAGGAGCTTGCTGAGGCGGTGGAGCGTCGAGCCACGGTCCAGAAGCAGCAGATCGACGCGCTGTATGCGGCTGTGGGTGAGGCGCTTGGAACGTCATAATTCGCCGACTGTAGCTTCCAATCTCGGTGCGCTCTCTGCACCTTGACGCTCCTCTTTTCTTGTTCACCGGCTAACTCTCACCGTCTCGAATGCTTCGTTGATCATGTTCAAGCGTTATGTGTCCTTCGCCTTTGATCATTCAGCGTCGATATACTTTGACCATCTGTCGTGTTTGGAATCTCCTTTGGTCGCTGCTCTTTGTTCTCGCCGTATTGATCAGTTCGCATCCTATCCCAGTTGTGGTACCGTCAGAGAGATTGGCCGGAGACATCACAGCGCCTGGTTCAGTGATATACGAGCTCTTCACGCTCAGATATATTGACTTCGAAGGTAAAAATGTCGCCCTCGAATGGTTAAGAGAGTACGTGCCATTCCTTGTCAAAGCCTAAGATATCTCATTCTCGTTGCATATACTAGCCGGGAATCCTCACGTCGTTAGTTCGGGCGATGATGGATTCGGATGGAGGTGGTCATTTACCACTCCTTCGATTGCTCTGGCGCATACTTGATCATTGATGTTTTCCCCGTTAGTATACTCGTCGACCTTGGGTGGAAGCTCTTCTAGTCTGCTTCCACGAACGACTCAAATACTCCACCCGGTCATCCAGCAGTCTTTAATGGATGGACTCACATTTAGCTTGCGGTTCTAGTTTGGTGCTATGAGATGTGTATAGATTTTCCTGTGCGACTAAAATCAGATTCAACAACGTCTGAAAGTTTAACTTACTCCGAAACGTGAAACCCTTCCGGATGAAAAATATAAGCTCCTCCTGGTCGATAAAGCGAGCATGCACCTGCAAAGAGTCATGACACGATCGACTTCGACAGGGTTCGAGCTGTCGCTCGCACCATGGGGATCGGTTAAGCTGGATTAATCTAATCTAATCATACAATACTACATTTCACAATCTCCAAAGATCATCGCCTGCTTCACGAGCCTGGCAGCGTCTGCACTCCAAGTCACCATACAGAAGGGTCTCATGTTCCCTCTTGCGAAGCGTTCGAGTATAGCTGGCCTGTCCGTCGAGGAAATACCACACAGAGGAGCAGTATACGCTCGTCACTAGAGCGACAACGGACCCTACAATGAAGGCGGCAGGAATAAGACTAAATCAGTTAGAGTGTACGCCCGAAAGAAGGGAAAGAACCTCACTCACAATACCAAAGCCGCCAAAACCACGATGGCCTTCAGCGAGATACACAACGCCGGACCAAATAGCCTGGATAAGTCATAAACACATGGTCAGCATCTCGATTACTGACACGAATATGCCGCAACGCACCCTTCACAGGACGAAGAACGGTGCTGGCTGATCTGAAGCGATGCGTATCCAGCCACCAGCGAGCCGACTCCCATTGATGCGAACCTATTCATACCCCAACGTAGCATTCAGTGGACCTCTCCAAGCTTTGGAAAGGCGAGAAGAGGCGCACCATGCCATGGCCGTCGTCATCAAATTTCCTCGATGCCAGCGTGGACAGAGTCTCCTTGAAAGTGGGAGGAGGAGAGCGACGATGGGCAGCAAATCCACGATCGCACAGCCCAATGACGATCTCAAAGCCCTAGACGTCTCTCGAGCGAGAGTGTGTTTAAAGTCGTGCAGAGTCCAAGCAGAGAGAACGATCTGGCCATGGGCACGAGGAGTTAGTCCAGTTACAAGTATTCGAGGAAGTATTGCTCATACCACGCCGAGGTCTGAGAGGAGCGTGAGCGTTGCGCATACAACCCCTGGGAGTCGTAAGTAATCGATTCTAATATTGTAGCAATAGGAGAAACAATAGTACATACAGATCCATTTTCCGAGCTTTCCTGGATACTCGTACTCATCCAACATCACTCGGCTCCCCTGCTAGGAGTTCCAATTCGGTGATGCTGGCCCAAGGTGAGAGATGGTGTTGTCGAACTTTGCAGCGCGGTGCCGTGATCGAGCGCGCAGACGATGTCTGGCTTTATAGGAATTCCAGGTCGACGCACGTTCCCAATTTGACAAAGATCTACCACACAGCCCAGCGCTTACCCCGTTCATATCTCGGTTTGAGGTAGGAGTTTCGAACAGAGCACTGATGGTTACTGAATATCGATCGTCATCACCGAAGGATGACCAACTGACGACTTTTCTCTAAGATTTCAGTCCAGAAAAGCACATGAGTAACGGGGTAGCGGTTACAGACCATTCCATGAGACAAACATATTTCTTTTTGCGCGAAAGAGGTTCGAACGCGGGAACGCGGGACCGCAGACCAATTCGGGTTCCGGACTTCTTTCCGACTGTCAGCCTTTCTGTCCCGAACGTCCACCTCCGTTCGCATTCGGTGCTCTCCCTGCGTCGGGGCCGCATTTCTTCAAGTGAAGTCGGCATGGGGCCACTCCCAATATCCAGATATCCGCCCATTGAACCACTTTGGTAGCCAGGGGACTATCCTCGAATGGACCTGTCTCGTTTGCATCATCCATCGCTCGACGCTCGATATTCACCTCTTTCTCTCTTCTCCCCCCTCTTCTGTGAACCAAGTCCTATCTTTATACGGATTTCGAGGCCATAAACCAGTTCACTCTCATTTTTCGGCTGGGTACATGGGTGTCCACCACAAAGATCTCCCCCGCTCCCTGCAGGTCGACCAGAGCAGGATGTGCTGGATCGCTTCAGGGTAAGTACTCCATACTGTTGACCTCGTAGCCTGCTCACACCCCGTTAGAAGGCTCTG